TAGAATTTATTACCTAGGTCGAGGAGTCGAAGGCTAACACCATATAAAGATCTTATACTCTCAATAATTAAATATACCATTTTAAAAGAAAGCAATTATGGAATGGATGCAAATGACATTGTAAATAGCATGCTGAATCATATTGGCGAACTATGTAACGTAAAGTTCGGGGCATTACATTTGTTACCAACTAACACAGACACACATGTATGTTTAAATTGTTGGGTTTATTAATTTGTCGTGTGAACCTACATATATAAGTAATTGTGTATAAGACTACCTTAAAACTTAGCTCAATTAAAGTGATATAATAAAGAAGTAAATCATTGGGCTAATGCTATCTAAATAAAGTGTAAGCTAGATTATATGTGTAGAGATCGGATCAATTATGATTGTATTTGACGATGGGGCAAACACATATGAAAAATATATATAGGGTTATGGTCCCCAATTCATATGCAATCTCTCATTTTTTTGTGTCATCCATCAATACAAGAATACAAGAGAAGACATATTGAAAAGGAAGATCTAAAACCCACAATCAAGAAAAATAGTTGGCTCATTTAAATCGAAAAACAAGACAATCAAGATTATGGAGTAAGAAGCAAAATCAAAATCAAGAACTCAAGAACCAAAATAACCAATAATCCAGATTCAAGATCCAGTAATAAGAAATTATTCCCAAAGAATTAAGGTATGTTCCAAAATTTGATGATTTGATATGAAGGATCTTGACAATTAAGCAATAATGTTTTCTAGTTTTTATAAAACTTAAAGTTTCATAAAATTTCAACAAGTGGTACCAGAGCCAACTCCATGTTAAACCATTGAAATTAAAGAAAGAATTTTAAGGTTAAAATTCATGCTTTGAATTTTTTTAATTTTGGAAAGTATATTTTATCCCTAAATTTTAAATTTTGAATTTTCGGAAAGTTTTAACTAAAATTGATTGTTGAATTATGCTTTTGGCATTATGTGTATCTATTATGGCAATGTAATTGAATGAACAAAAAATGTGTTTGAATTAATTATGTTAAGTTTCCTTGAGACACATTGATTGACCGTGTGTGGCCACATTTTCCAAATTCTTATTAATGAACATTAAAGCCATCCTTGAATTAAGTGGATTTGGGCGGTGTGAAGTAATTTTGTTTATGGGAAGGAAAAGAAGATTTATAGTTGCGGCGGTTTCCGGGGCAATTGCTATTCGGCACAGCAGCGCAGGGGCGGATCCAGGATTGGANGATGAAAAACCAAAGTTTTGGAGTTATCAGAACCATGCATGTACTTACACATGGTGGTGTCATTTATTCAAAAAATTTGGGTGAGGCAATTGCAGAAATTAACAATTTCTGTGTTTCAAGAGAAACTGAAATTGGAGCTGCAGCGCCTGTTTTTGAGCGTTGTCGGGGCCGACTTTCTGTTTGTATTTTTATTTTCAAAACAAAAGAAAAATAAAAATAAAATATAAGGATTTAAGGACAATTATAATTCAAGTCTTGGTATTAAAATAATTTCTTTTTGGATTACTAATTTTCCTAATTAAATTAATTGAAACATCATGTTACCAAAGTAACTTCTATTGTCTAAATTAATTTATTTGAAAGATTAGGAATGTTGTGTATTTGTAATTCATGCGAATATTCACTGGCCCAAAGGATGGTAAATATTTGGTCGAATTAGATGCAGACTTGTAGTAATAAATATGTGATAACTGTAAGGTTTTGTTTTATGTGAATGATAAATCGGTCCAAAGACAGATTTATTATTTGACATAGTTTATTGTCAATATTTGATTACCACATCAAGAGTACCACTTACAAGTTGGTATTTCTATCCAAAGTCTAAATATCAATATTGTGCTCGGTCTCTTGTGATGGGGTTCACCATTATTTGAAATTATTGATTGTCCAATACAGATTCCTATGTGAACATGTTATTTAGGTTTAAGTTTTTTATTCGGTTAATCCATCTACTTCTACAATATCTGCTATAATCAATTCAATTCGTGTGCTTTAAACAAAGTTTAAGGACTGAAAAGAGAACGTTAGTATCATTCTTGGAGGTTGCATTTAGGAGTGAACAACCCACTACTCTTATGGATAAAAGTTCCGCTAATAAAAATGAGACTCGAATAAGTGAGATCATTCAAATTACATAAGTCTTATGATCATGAAACGTGAAATTTCAGTAGTATTCAGGGACATTGTGCACGATAATGTAACTACTGCCAAAGAGTTTCTTGATGAAATTGAAAAAAAATGCTTTGTAAAAGGCAATAAGACCCGAACTAGCAAGCTTTTAGCGAACTTAATTTCACTAAAGTATAAGGGTAAAGAAAATATAAGGGAAGTACATCATTGAGACGTCTCATCTTGCTTTAAAGCTAAAAGTATTAAATGTAGAGCTAACTGATGACTTGTTCATGCATTTAGTTTAGATTTCTATTCTTGTACAATTCGGCTATTTTAAGGTCAGTTACAACTGTTAAAAGGGAAAATGAATTCGTAATGAGCTCATTCCATATTGTGTGTAAGATAACGAAAGACTAAAGTAAGATAAAACTTATATTACTCACTTGGCAAGTACCTCTAATGATAAATTATAAAGAATTAGAAAGTTACATCCGATTCGATTCAAAATAAACAGAGAAAGCTTGAAAATGATAAATCTGGCTATTACTTTTTGTGAAAATTTGAGATGCATAAAGAGAGACTGTACTAAATATCACGATTGGTGTGTAAAGAAAAGTACACTTTTCACTTTGGTTTATTTTGAGGTTAATTCAGTTTTAATACTTAGACACACTTAGTGGATAAAATTCTGGTGTCACCGCTCACATAAGTGTGTCTATGGGAGATTGCCAGAACATCCAAAAGTCAATTGATACTGAAAGATTCATCTATGTGGGGGCAATGACAAATCAGTTAAGTTTGAGGTTGTAAGGACTTTTAGGTTACTATTAAAGACTGGTTATGATTTGAATATGAAAGTGATATTTGCGGTATCGTCTTTTAGACAAATTTGGTTACTCTTGTTCAATTGAAAATAGTCTATTTGATCTTTTTTTAAATTCAAATATTGTGGGTACCAGTTTTTTATCTGGTTACAATAATCTATATCTGCTTAATACGGTTGCCTCTTATAAAGAAATTTTGCATGTGAATTCACATGGTATTAAATATATATTAAACAATGAAAATTTTATTTCGTTACGGTACAAGTGAGTAGGTAACATCTTTCAAAAGAGAATGAAAAAAATCTTGTGTTAGAAGAAATTCTTGATTCCCTTAATTTTTCAGACTTAAGTGTTTGCGGTAATTACATTAAGTATAAACAAAGAAAAATAAAGAGATTAGGTACAAATAGGACTTCAGACGTCTTATAACTAATTCATACAGATATCTGTAGACTATTCACTTTGACTCATTGGAATGGTCAACATCAATTTATTATGTTTATAGACGAATTTTTCTCACTATGACTACCTATATTTCATCTATGAGAAATCCCAAACACTGGACATGTTCAAGGCATACAAGACTGAGTTCGAAAATCGACTCGGTAAAAGAATTTAACAAGTCAAATCTTATCATAGTGGTGAATACTATGAAAGATATTATATCTGTGGATCATTTCCTTCGGCTTCTTGGAATGGTCAACAGTCATTTATTATGTTCATAGACTATTTTTTTCAATATGGCTACCTATATTTGATCTATGAGAAATCTCAAACACTGGACATGTTCAAGGCATACAAAACTGAGGTCGAAAAAGAACTCAGTAAGATCTTACAATAGTGGGGAATACTATGACACATATGAAATATAAGGAGAACAATGTTCTTGGCCTTTTGATAAATTCTTAGAAAAATGTGGAATCGTCTTACAGTAGATTAGAATCTCTCTAGGTAGAAGCACTAAAGACTAAACTTAAATTCTTAACAAAGTGATCTAATAAAGAATTAAATTGTTGGGTTTATGGTATCTAAATAAAGTGTGAGCCATATTATATATGTAGAGACCTGATCCATTAGAGTTGTATTTGACGATGAACCAAATACATATGAAAATTATATATAGAGTTATGATCTCCAATTTATGAATACTTCTCTTTTTTTGTGTCATCCCATCAATACAAGAATACAAGAGAAATCATATTGAAGAGGAAGATCCAAAATCCAAAATTAAGAAAGAGAATTAGGTCAATTAAATTGAAAAATAAGACAGTCAAGATTATGGAGTAAGAAGTAAAATCAAGATCAAGAACTTGAGAATAAAAAAAGACAATAATCCAAATTCAAGATCTAGAAATTATTCCCAAACAATTAAGATCTGTTCCGTGTTTTTAATTTTCTTCAAAATTAAGCAATTATGTTTTCTAGTTGCTACAAAGTTTAAAATTTAACCCCCGTTTGATTTATATTATTATTTCATTAGAATAAAAAATATTACAGTTATTTATCATATTGACAATTAAATTCATATTTTCTATCGCGTACCATCATTTAAATTCATATTTTCTGTACGTGTGCTCCAATAACGACTGTATCCTTGAATCTCGCCCTTAATAAAGTTTCAACATGCTCCTGTGAATAAATTGCTAAACTATCTTGACCTTCGAAATTACAAGAGGAACCAATTAGGCTTGAACAGAAATTAGTATTATTAAAACGATTTGAAAAGATATTGAGTTGGATTTGTGATAGCCCACTTCCTAGATCTTCACAGCCAACGTGCAATTTCCAATCTCCAGCTTGATCCCACGTCTCGCCGCCAAATTCAGGTAATTTTTTAATTTTCTCTTCCATTATTCTCCAGGAAATGTATAATACCGGTCGATCTAGCTCCCTTTTCGTTTTAACGAAATTGATCAGCTGGGTATTTGATTTTATAGAATTCTAATTGATGAGTAGAGAAATGGAGAAATTGAAATTGGGAAACCTTGCAGCAACCAGGTTCAGTATACGTAATTTTTGCAGTTTTTAGCTGATAATCGAAATGCACCACAATCCGGCAACAGTAGAGGAACAGTTGATACTGAAAGCAATAAGAGAAGAATGCCCATGGGAGAGTCTTCCCAAGCGCCTTCAAACTACCTTGAGTTCTAAAGAAGAATGGCATAGGAGGTTCTTCTTCTGTTTTGATTTACTTTTCCATTCCAATTTTCCATAGGTCATTCTGGTGCAACTTTTATTATTACTTAAGTATATGAATTGTGGTTCCTGGTTGCCTATAGGACGCTGTTAATATATAGATTAATGGGATCCATTTTTTCCCACATAGATCTAATCTGAATTGAGGACGTTAGAAGTATGCTCTTAGGGGATTTTTGCACATATTCCTTGTGTAGGCCAATGTGATTTCATTATTTCATTGCAAAGATGGTATTCTGTATTTCTTTAAATTTTCTCTCGCCTTTTCTACCAAGGTGTGCAATTGTCAAATATGGCTGCGTGGAGTATATTTCTAAAGATGCTGATGGGTTGTGAAGCTTTTAGACTATTTTATTTTCAATTAAACTAAAGCACCAGTTGATAGGTGATATGAATGAGAATTATGAAGTCTGAGTTCAAAGAGAAACATGTGTTTTTCGGTTATAGTGGCTTTTAGTAAATACGTAATGCAGATGGGTAGGGTATTCCAGATTCCCGATAGCTAGACAACAATATACCCACTTCGGATGCTTATAGTCTCTGGCCATCTAACATTTTCTGGGTCTCGGGGCAAAGTATTTGCCACAGTTTTTAAAATCTAAAATTTTTGAATCTGCATTTCGTAATGACAGCGGAATATTTTCTCATTAAATATTGGGTTAATGATGGTATTTCTGTTTCAATGGCTAGAATTTTTAAGCTTTCATGAGGCCAAACATTGTGCTTCTAGCTGTCTTGGTCATGATGGTGATGGAAATCCTATTCCCAGGGCATTGGACAAGCTTCAGTTACATCAAGGAGGGGTCTGCTAGTCCTAATTTGTCAGTTTCTTCAATACCAAATTCTTCCTTTACTAAATCCTTGAATATTTGAATTTTCATATCGTTGTGCTAAATGATGAGGCGATCTTTTTGGAGTTTCCATTCCGACACGATAACAAATAAAATGACCAAAGCCTATTCATAAGTACAATGCTAATGGTAGACATAATGGATTAGAAGTTCTCTTCCCAGCCATCTATTTCATTTGAAATATCAATCTGAGTTACCCTGAAGGAAGATAAAAGATCCTGCCAAGGTTGTTCAAAACTTAAATTAATTTATTACGAAAAGCTTAACTTCTGAATCATTTACTTGATAACTTTTTGGGTTTAGTTGCGAGGGCTGCTCAAGGAAGAAGTTGTCTACTATCAGGTTTCAAAGTACTTTTCTCTCCATTGTCGTATAATATAACAAATTTTTTAATTTGTTAGTATAAGTTCGTAGGCTCAGCCATTTGTTGTTTTAACAACCAATGTTCCAACTTAGGGGCATATTATGAATCAATGTAATACGTCAATGGATTTGTGATGGGGAATAACGATATATTTCAGTAGTTTCGATTATCTAAAACTTGATCATATAGAGTAGTTATTTATCAGAACTTTTGTTACATTTCAGTTGTTTACCATATAAAAAGGAACTTAAGATTTCATTTATAGGCAGACTATTATTGATGATTGAATATTGATATTTTTTCCCCAAAATTCTTATCCACCCCTGTTTCTCTTTCTCTATTATTTCCTACATCAATTAGTTTGCCCTTGATTTGGGGGATGCAATAAAACCATTATGGATAAGAGAGACAGGCTTTTGTTTTTACTTATTCTTGAAGAAGAATCAGTTACTGCTTGTATAGAGAGTTGGATGGGTTTGTTTGGGGGCTATATTTGGTCATGACAAGAATGAATTTATAAATTTTTAAAATGTATATGACGTTAATGGGTTGTCCACTCCTTTGATGCTCGGACTCTTTGACATGGTAGGAGTACCCGTGTTAACATGGCACAACACGACACAGTTAAGGGTACTTCAACCTGACACGACATTTTATACAAGGATTTATATTTTCCAGTTGTTACAAAATTTTCATGATTTTAGTCAAATGAGTTATTGTTTCTATTGCTACTAATGTTTTTAGGTTAATCACGTTAACAAAAAAGTCGTATTAACGGTGTTGATAGATTACTAAAGTTGACAAACAAATCATTAGGTTAATACAAAAAAGTCATATTAACGGTGTTGATAGATTACTAACGTTGACAAACAAATCATATTAACGAAATTTGGACTCTTTTTAGCCATATCCTTTATCCTACATTTTAGAAAATAAAAGATTCGATACTTTAATACATATTCGTACTCGGTACACGTACCTGAGTCCGAGCATCATAGGTTCACCCTGACTCCAATAATAGATGTTTAATTCCTTTGATAACATTCCACTGACCAAGTGATCATCCGATCGTGTAGGATAATTGAATACTGCATAAAGAAACGACTCCAATGGAACACTTGTTTTGCTCACAAAATAGGCAAAGAAGGTGAATACTATGAAGATATGATGCGCTATCTGCGAAGGAACCTAGCAGTGAGTATTAAATTTACATTTTATTTGTTAGTAAAGCTTTAGTGCATTCCATATATTTAATTTAGAATGTACTTTGAATGCTAAATACTTAATTGCTTTGAACACCACACTATTTATTGTTAATATAAGTGTTTAGTGATATCTTAAAGAGTAAAAGGATTCCTATGACCGGAGGAAGAGTCTTGTGGTGCTTATCCGTAAGAACAGATTTTAAGAAATTACAGAACTATTTAGCTCCTAAGTCATACTAAGAATTATGGTAGAGGGTCATGAGGTCAAAGATAAAATGTGAATCGAAACTTTTAGTGAATCAGTTTGGCCTTATGCTAGGAAAATTTAATATAGAAGTGATTTAGTTGTTAGGAGATTGATGGAGAAGTATAGAGAAAAGAAACAAGACCTGCATATGATTTTCTTGATTTAGGAAAAGCCTATAATAGGGTGCCTAGGGAAGCTCTATTGTGGGTGCTAGAGAGTATGAATTTCTAATAGATGCATCAATATTAGTAAAGATATGTACGACAAAGTGTCACTAGCATGATATGTTGTGGCGACATATTGGAAAATTTCCTATCATTGTAGGCTTGCATTTTCTAAATTAAGTTCTTATCTCTTTGCTTTGGACATGGGTGATCTCATGAGATGTATTCTAGATGAGGTTCTTGGCATATGCTCAATGGCAGAGTTTTTGTTGATGAGACTAGAGAGAGCTTAAATCGTAAATAGAATTTTGGAGTACTTTGGAATCTAAAGATTTTTGGTAAAGTAAAAATAAGAACAAAGTACGTGCATGATCATTTTAATAACGACAGAGTTAAGGATAATAATGAAATATGGCCATCACAATAAATTATTTTTTGGTATTTAGGTTTGTTTATTAATATAGCATGAGGAACTGAACAACATGTTAAGATGGAGGTGTAACTGAAGCAAATTGGATGATATAAGAAATGAACATATGCCAACAAGTGAAAATGGCACTTAATGAGTATAAACTAATGGGAGAATGATTTAGGTGATGGGGTGGGCATATCTTGTTTATACCAAAGAGGCTCATGTTCATAAGATTGATGCAATAGACTAAAACTAACATAGACTGTTGTGATTGCTAAGGTAATTGTTTTGGTTTTTCTAGTAGGTAGCAATGAACAGAAGGGAGTGGTGAAAAATATTCATGTAGCTGACCCTAAGTATGTAGGGAATAAGGCTTAGTTTTTTTGTGTTGCACGATTATTAGTTATAACCTTTTCAAGTGGTAATTGAAAGGATTCAGCTCTGTGGCTTAATTGTGGCTCTTCCAGATAAGTAGATATGGCTTAGTTGAGTTGACCTGAATGGAATATAACTAAATGGACTGACTAGTAGAACATGCTTGTATTTATGAACATTGTGGATAAACAATGAAAGTTGAATGCACCATTCTTATTAGTTAAATAACGTCTACATTGATGTTCATGCGCTACACACGAGTAAACATAAATTTTCCAATGCTAGACACTTTATTATCTTTGGAATTGCAAAAACTTTGCTATTGAGTTGATTTATTTTTTGGAATTGCTGAACTTTTTGAATATGAGATAAGTGCAAGATAAATAACTAAACATACAGTTCTCCTTCCAAATAGTTACCAGTATTTAGCAAAGGGAAAAGCTAGTGAACTGTGGAGAAGCCCATTGATCTTTAGAAGTAACTTATTTAATTACAGAATGCAATTTTGAAATGTATTATACACAATCTAACATATTAATTTTGTCGTGCTAAATTTTTGCTACTGTTGGGCCATGGAAATGCTATTAACTTATGAAATCAAGTTATTTAACAATGGTAACCAAAGTTTCAAACTAAAACCATAAAGTGATGTGGATTCTGTTATGATCACTATCAGACTATCATAGGATCCCGAACTTTTAAAGCATGTCATTCCCCTTTTCTTTTATAGAACTGGAAAGAAAATTACTATAGGTAAGTGTTACTCATTTATCTGGATCTCGCGTGTAGTCTTTTGCTTATAGGAAACAGATAAAAGAGCTTTTGCATTAACAATAGAGATTCTAAACGATGACACTTTTTAATTTAAGTATCTTGTATAAGTATTATATAGTTTCACATGTTAAAATTGTAGAGTAGAAACCGAATAACTCCAGAACCATTTACTTGTTAGTATTCTTTTTGCAGCTGTTTCCATACCATCTTGCAGAGTATGTTTGCCGTGTTATGAGGGTTTCCCCTTTCAAATATTACTGCGACATGATATTTGAAGTTATGAAAAATGGTACGCGCATATTGGAGTTCTCTCTTTAATTATCATTCGTGCTTCTAGCTAGATGACACGGTACGAGCATATTGGAGTTCTCTATTTAATTAGCATTCATGGTTCTAGCTAGATGACACGAAACTTAATTTCTTTCAAATAAATATTACATCATAGTAGTCATTGGTTATGTTCTATCAAGCACAAAAGAAGCATCTTATCCATTTGAAGTTCTAGGATCAGGGTTATTGGAAAGGGAGCCAGGTGTCTCCTAGGAATTATTGATTATTTTAATTCCTAATGCTCAAAAAAACATGTTTTATTAAATATACAGGATTTTGACTCCCTTTTTATCTGAACCACTAAATTTATGTCAGTTTGCTACATTGGCTTTAATTTTTCTTCTTCTGAAATCGATTTAGTTGCTGAAAATGCATACAGGATCTTATCCTAAATTCATTCAAGTGCTAATTTCATTCAGATATATTTGCTGATATTCACTGAAACAATTTCTTAATGTCCTGAATATATAATGTGTGTGTGGATATTTTTGGATATAACGTGTTCGCTCTGGCAAAGCATGTTGATATTAAACCCCAGCAGGCTTTGGTGCCTCTATGAGCTTGCACATTTAATAGCCAACTTAAGTTGTCCGAACATCCTACAAGTAGTATGCATCTGTCTGACTGAATCCAAATCCAGNTGGTAACGACTTTTTGGGGGCTGCCCCATATTAGACTAGTCATGCTACTTGTACGAATTTAAGCCCTTGTTTGCCCCCCATTATATCACATTCCATTACATTAATTTTTTCTCTCTCTTCATCTCAACCATCCATTTATCAAATAAAATAATAATACACACAAATCAAAAACTTTTCAACCACACATCTCCCATCAATCACTATTCTAAAAATTATCTACCCCTCAAAAATTTAAATTAATGGGGGGCAAACAAGGGCTTAATGATTTACGTACAGTGATTAATAATTCATATTGCGGAGTGTGATTGTTGAGCTTTAATTTTATTGAGATTTTGTCAGCATCATTGATGGAAAGAGTGTGTTTTTTTATTTATAATGATACTAAGATTCTGTTCCATGTTCTGAATGATTAAAGTATCATTATAAGTGTGCACAGAATGGAATACTTATTTGGCACAGTATATTTCTATAGTAGGACAAAGTATTGGAAATGACTCTTCTCTATTAGGCAGTGGAAGTATGTATAACCATGCCAGATTTTGTGGATGAGAAGTTGGGGAACAAATTTGGAATTTGAGGATCTAAATATGGGCTAAGATAGATAATCATTTGGATCTCAAAGTTGACAATAAAGAAAATGCTAGCTGGCAACAGTGAACTTCAAGCATTGGAGCTGTATTGGTTTTCTTATGCTATTGGAAAGGGATGGGCTTTGTATATTACTATAGATTGCAGTTTGGAAGAAATTAGTTTAATACTGGAATCGCAGGAAAAAAGGGAAGATTAAAAAGTAGTAAAAAGAAAAAACGAATAGAGAAGCTGAAAATTTATATCTTTGTGAGCTTAAAAACACGTGACCCAATTATAAGGCAATTCTCAGTATAAGAGACTCCATTTAAATAAAGAGACAACATTAGAATTTTATATTAAAAACTCTATACTACTTTGAAGGATAAAACTCTATATAGAAACTTAATATAATAGAATCTTACAATCAGTATAGACTCACTAGGATTTCATTAAGCAAGTAAATTTGATAATACAAACTAAAACAGGATCCATTGACTATGGATACACGTTCACAATTATTATAAGTTTAGAGATGCATCTGACTCCTACACATTAAGTTAAGACAAGTATATTTGTTTCCCGGATTTCAAACTCATAACCAATTATATAAAAACTTCATTATTCACATCTGCACTATTTGGCCAAGAAGGCTTGTTCCTTGAGATGGGATCCACGGTGTTTCTCTTAGCTTCCAAATCTCAGTGTTTTTTCAACAATTTTTAAGCTATTACGTATTTACAAATGCCATACTAGCAATTACCTGTTGTCTTACATCACCGGTACAGTTGTATCTCCATTATTGCACCTTGATGTATTTTGTTGATTAATAAATAGAGTGTTTCCTGAGGAACCCATTATTTTTACCTTTCAAAAAATAAATAGAATGTTTCCATAAAGAATGAAATATGCATAAATATAGATAATAAATATTTTGGATATTTACAAATACTCTCTATATTGGGTGTATTTAGACTTTACCTACTGCATTTTGCAAGTTTATATTCTGCACACTATGTTTACTAGATAACAAAAAAAAAAAAAAACAACTTTTGGTATGGAATAGAAAAAATTACAAATATGTAATAAATAGCTGAATAGACCATATGTCAATTTACATACCATTTTTAACTAGATTATTATTCTTTAAAATTTTATTTACTATTTCTTTTTCATCAAAAAAATAAATTCTCTCTCTCTCTCTCTCCCTCCTTTTCATCTATCTTTCTTCATAAAATGTGTCAAATCTCTTGACTAAACTATAAATTTTTT